TTTATAAAAAAAATTGTCTCAAGCTTATACAAAATTGGATTTTTTTTCCGAAAAAGTGCAGTTTTTAGTGGCTGTAGAATCGTACATCTCATGATCTGTTCCCGTTGCGAGCCAGGCGTTCAACTTTCGGTTAGATAACCAAGCGGTGAACTTCACGTCTGTTTTATTGAAAACTTCACGGCACCTTCTTTAGAAGATATCAGTTTACCCCCTTGTGTCAACTATTTATGCGTTTACATATTTTTATACTGCTTTGATGCAATGGCCGTTGTCACGAAAAAGGTGGTGGGAAGTGAGAAATTGTGTCATATCCGCGATGCAAAAGGCAACGCGCTTTGTCTCGGTCAGAACAGAGAACAGGGGCGACATGATATTGTATTTCAAATATTAGGTCGGAACGATTGAAATGTCGCTTCTGTTTGTGTCTTTGTTTCTCAGCTTAAAGTTAATCTCTTAGGATTGGAGACCACTCATTCGAACGAGCGATTTAGTGCGCATATTCCAAAGTCTTGGGCGCTACTGAGCGGATGCTCTTCGAGCCGAAAATTGACTGAAGATGACTGATCAGAAATTATCGTCTAAGCGTATCTATTCAAGCAACGAAGGACGGTCAACGAATCCCACTCATTGTGAAATATATTTCAAAATATTGAGCAGTTACAACCAGTCTCTGATGCACTTTCAGCTAGGGTTTCACTTTCTCAGACTGAGAAGACCTAAGGCAGAGGTCCGTGATTTTTGACCTCTAGCCCAGATGACGGAAAAAAAGAAGAAAGCCAAACAATTATGAGTCCTCGACAAGGCGCACAAAACTTGCATGGAAGATTCAGTTGTGTCAATACAGAAAATTTGAAAGGTTCCTACGTTGCGACTTTTAAGGTCTTTCAGGAGAAATGGGCTCGGTCCATATTGCTGAGGACGTCCGCGAAGCAGAGTAGTTAATCGTTGCCAATGAAATTTCGCTCCATAACTTCAAGAGAAAAAGACTTCGTGTTCCCCGAATTTCGCTTCCCACTAAAACGCGAGAAGACGACCGTAGTTGGCGGCTAATGGACAGCTGAGGGTGACTCGAAACCAGACATCCATGGAAACAAATTCATGTA